CCTAAGTGTCCACCAATGCTTGAATGGATAAAGAAGAGATGATACCGCACCAGAGCCTGAGACAGCAGGAGCCCCGCCTGGCCCGAAGCCATTTCCGCCACAGCAGGCAGAGGGGCTGAACAGGCACTATCAGCCAACTTGGGGTTCTGGAAGACACCCCCTCGGGGCACCCAAGTGCCCCTTCTCAGTGCTCAGTCTGACCATGGCCACGTCCTGCCTCACGCCGCCCCTTAGGCCTGGCATAGAAGCTCATCAGCTCAGTCCTTGTCCTTAGAGCTGGGCCCAGACCCCAGGTTCTGGCCAAATCCCCACCCGCAGGGCAGCGTGTTTGGTCTGCCACCTTCCGGAAAATGGCCATGGCCTCGGCCTCCCTTCGGGCACCCAGGAATGGGGGGTCTGCTCCGTCCCCCAACTATCCACTCTCTGAACCCTGGGGGCTGCGGAGGCTGCCGCCACTTCCTGCGGGTGGGGACGTTCTATGCAATACAAGGTTCCACTTTCGAGAAGTGCACGCAGCTGTGCTGGTGGGCACAGCTAGGGTCACGTCCTGCCCTTCCCAGCCCTGCCCCTGAACTCTACGCCTGGGGCAGCCCCTCTGGCTTCTAAATCCACGGTTGGGGATCCTTAGGTCATGTTACCTTTTTTTTTTTTTAAAGGAACAAATACACAAACACATTGGTTGACTTTGCTTCCCTGTTCTCGAATACTTGAATGTTGGGGGGATCTGGGAGGTGTGGGGGCCCCAAGACACCGTCTGCCCAGCCCTGCTGCCCCTCCCAAATCTCGTACAATGGTCACAGTCCGGTGGCCAGAGGCCTGCTGTGCCCTCCCTGGTCCCCACTGCCCTTATCTGTGGACTGCCCCTTCCAAAGACCCCTGGAATAGGGCAGACGGGCAGGCTGCCCTTCCCCCCTCTCCTCGTCAGTGATTTTACAGGGGAATTCACTACCTTTTTCTATAAAAGAACAAGCAAACGGACACCCGCCCTCTGCAGGAACCCAACAGCCATCTAGTCTCCAAAGGTGAGCAACTAGCAGGTTTTTTTCCCCCAAAGGTGGGACAGTCATTTCTTTCTCCCTCCCCACACCTCACATACCATCTGCGACGTGGAAGACTGGTCAGAACTGTTACTGTGGATGAGTGAAGATCCCAGAGCACCGTGGACCCCAAGCCAGCTCCCAGCACTGGGGGACGGTAACAGCCATGTGTCAATGCTAAGATGTTTTTAAAAGACCAAAAAAAAAAACCCAAAGTTTTTCAAAGTGGGAGGACAACATCAAATCACTTTAATCACATACCAGGTGAACTTGTGTCCAGAATTTGTGGGCTCTTGGTGTCACTGACTTCAGGAACAAAGCCACAGACCCTCGTGTTGAGGGTTACAGTTCTTAAACATGGTGTGTTTGGACTTTCTTCCTTCTGGTAGGGTTGTCTCGCTAGCTTAGATGAGTGAAGCTACAGACCTTTCTGCTGAGTGTTACAGCTCTTAAAACGACACGTCTGGGGTTGTTCATTCCTCCCTGTGAGTTCATAGTCTACACTGGCCTCAGGCGTTACAGACATTTGTTCGCAGTGAGTGTCACAGCTCTTCAGGCGGCGTGTCTACAATTGCTCATTCCTTCCTGCAGATTCATAGTCTATACCGGCCTCACTAGTGAAGCTGCTGAACTTTGCAGGGACTACTACAGCTCACAAAGCACAGCACACCCAAACAGCAAAACAACAAAGCTGCCACACAACAGAAGAAAACCAGGACTCATTACCAACTAATGACTGGGCCAGCGTGCTTTTCTTCCCTTATCTGGCCCCACCCACATCCTGCTGATTGGTCCATTTTACAGAGAGCTGATTGGTACATTTTACAGAAAGCTGATTGGTCTATTTTCAGAGAGCTGATTGGACCATTTTGACAGGGTGCTGATTGGTGCGTTTACAATCCCTGAGCTAGACACAGAGTGCTGATTGGTGCATTTACAATCCTCTAGCTAGACATACAAGTTCTCCAAGTCCCCATTAGATTAGCTACACACAGAGCACTGATTGGTGCGTTTACAAACCTTGAGCTAGACACAGAGTGCTGATTGATGCATTTACAACCCTTTAGCTAGACACAGATTGCTAGACAGAAAAGTTCTCCAAGTCCCCACTAGGTTAGCTTGATACAGAGTACCTATTGGTGTAATTACAAACCTTGAGCTGGACACAGGGTGCTGATTGGTGTATTTACAATCCCTTAGGTAGACATAAAGGTTCAAGTCCCCACTAGACTCAGGAGCCCACCTGGCTTCACCTAGTGGATCCGCAACTGGGGCTGCAGGCAGGACTGCCCGCCAGTCCCAAGGGAGCTGTGCCCGCACGCCTCAGCCCTTGGGTGGCCAATGGAACTGGGCACCACAGAGCAGGGGGTTGCGCTCATAGGGGGCGCTCAGGCTGCGGGAGCCCACCGCCAGGAGTGGGGAGGTTCAGGCAAGGCGGGCTGCAGGTCCGGGGCCCTGCCCCATGGGGAGGCAGCTGAGGCCCTCGGAGAACTGGAGCGCAGCTCCAGCGGGCTGGCACTGCTAAGAGACCCCGCGCACCTAGGCAGCTGCTGGGCCAGGTGCTAAACCCCTCACTGCCCTGGGCCGGCAGCGCAGGCGGTGGGCTCCGAGTGTGGGGTCCACGGAGCCCGCTCCCACGGGAACTCACGCTGGCCTCTGAGTGCCTGGCAGAGCCTGGGTTCCCGCCCATGCCTCTCCCTCCACACCTTCCCGCAAGTAGGAGGAGCCGGCTCCGGCCTCAGCCAGCCCAGAGAAGGGCGCCCATAGTGCAGCGGTGGGCTGAGGGGCTCCTCAAGCACCGCCAGAGTGGATGCTGGGGCCGAGGAGGCGCGGAGAGTGAGGGCTGCTAGCACACTGTCACCTCTCAAACTGATAAGAGTATTCTGTCAGTTTGAGAGGAAAACAGTATTACGGGTTCCTCAAAAAATTAAAAATACAACTACTGTATTGTCTTAGTACATTTGTGTTGTTACAAAGGAATACTTGAGGCCAGATAAATTATTTTATTTTTTGTAAACACAGGATTCTCGCTATGTTGCCTAAACTTGTCTTGAACTCCTGGGCTCCAGCAGTCTTCCTGCTTCAGCCTCCCACAGTACCGTGATTACAGGTGTGAGCCACTGCTCAGCCGAGGCTGGGTAATTTACAAATCAAATCTGGCTTAGAGTTCTGTAGGCTGGACAAAACACACAGTACTGGTATCCGCATCAGACTGCTTCCACTCATGGGGGAATGCAAATGGGAGCAGCCATGTGGAGATCACATGGTGCGCGAGGGGGCAAGAGAGAGGAGGGAGGTGCCGGGCTCTTTTTAACAATCAGTTCTGTGGTAACTAATAGAGTGAGAACTCATTCATTACCTTGAGGATAGCACCAAGCCATTCATTAGGGATCCAATGACCAAAACACCTGCACCACCTCCCACCTCCAACACAGGATCAAATTTCCACATGGGACTTGGCAAGCTCAGACAAACCATATCCAAACCATGGCACGTATGATCCAGCATTCCACTGGGGTATGTACACTTGGGTGTATATACAAAGGTAATGAAATCAGTATGTTCAAGATGTATCTGCACTCCCATATTTATTGCAGCATCATTCACAATAACCAAGACATGAAATCAACCTAAGTGTCCACCAATGCTTGAATGGATAAAGAAGAGATGATACCGCACCAGAGCCTGAGACAGCAGGAGCCCCGCCTGGCCCGAAGCCATTTCTGTTGCAGCAGGCAGAGGGGCTGAACAGGCACTATCAGCCAACGTGGTGTTCCGGAAGACACCCCCTCGGGGCACCCAAGTGCCCCTTCTCAGGGCTCAGTCTGACCATGGCCACGTCCTGCCTCATGCTGTCCCTTACGCCTGGCATAGAAGCTCGTCAGCTCAGTCCTTGTCCTTAAAGCTGGACCCAGACCCCAGGTTCTGGCTAAGTCCCCACCTGCAGGGCAGCGTGTTTGGTCTGCCACCCTCCGGAAAATGGCCGTGGCTTCGGCCTCCCTGCAAGCACCCGGGAATGGGGGGTCTGCTCCGTCCCCTAACCATTCACGTTCCGAACCCCGGGGGCTGCGGAGCCTGCCACCACTTCCTGCGGGTGTGGACGTTCTATGCAATACAAGGTTCTACTTTCGAGGTGTGCACGCAGCTGTGTTGGTGGGCACAGCTAGGGTCACGTCCTGCCCTTCCCAGCCCTGCCCCTGAACTCCACACCTGGGGCAGCCTCTCTGGCTTCTAAATCCGCTTTCAGGGATAAGTCTTTTTTTTTTTTTTTTTTTTTAAAGGCACAAATACACAAACACATCGGTTGACGCTGCTTCCCCATTCTCGAAGAGTACTTGAATGTTGGGGGGATCTGGGAGGTGGGGTTGCCTCAGACACCGTCTGCCCATCCCCGCTGTCCCTCCCAAATCTCGTACAATGGTCACAGTCTGTTGGCTGCGGGGGTGCTGTGCCCTCCCTGGTCCCCACTGCCCTTATCTGTGGACTGCCTTTTCCAAAGACCCCTGGGATAAGGCAGGTGGGCAGGCCGGCCGGCCGGCCTCCCTGCTCCCATCTCACTTGTCAGTGATTCCACATTTTGCAATGGGGAATTCACTGTCTTTTTGTATAAAGGAACAAACAAACAGATACCTGTCCACTGCATGCACCCACAGTCATCAGGTCTCCAAAGCTGAGTTAGCACTCTTTCCCCAAAGCTGGGACAGTCACTTCCTTCTCCCTCCCCACCCCTGTCGCATACCATGTGCGACCTGGAAGACTGGTCAGAACCGTTACTGTGAATGAGTGAAGATCCTGGAGCACCTTGGGCCCCACACCAGCTCCCAGTGCTGGAGAACAGGAAAAGTCATGTGCCAATGCTAAGATTTTTTAAAAGAAAAAAAAAAAGTTTTTTTGAAGTGGGGGAAAAACATCACTTTACTCACATCATACCAGGTGAACTTGTAGGTCTGGAATTGGTGGGTTCTTGACTTCACTGACTTCAAGAATGAAGCCACAGACCGTCCTAGTGTTAACAGTCCTTAAAAACGCTGTGTCTAGAGTTTGTTCCTCCTGACGAGTTTGTGGTCTTGCTGGCTTACAAGAGTGAAACTGCAGACCTCCGAGGTGGGCATGTCTGGAACCATTACATTCCTCCCTGTGGGTTCACAGCCTACGCAGGCCTCAGGCCTGAAGCTGCAGCTGTTCGCGATTAGTATTACAGCTCTTAAGTGGGAGTGTCTAGAGTTCAGAGGTCATTTCTTCCCGACAGCTCAGTCTACAGTGGTCTCACAACTAAATCCACAAGACCTTTGCAGACAGTGTTATAACTCATAAAAGTAGTGCTGACCTAAAGACTGACCATGCAACAACCACCACCACTACAAACAACAAAAGAACAAACGCCCCACAATACAGAGGAGAACTCAAACTGTCACTGGCAGGGTGGGGCAGCCTGCTTTTATTCCCTTATCTGACCCCACCCACATCCTGCTGATTGGTCCATTTTACAGAGAACTGATTGGTCCATTTTAAAGAGAGCTGATTGGTCCATTTTTCAGAGAGCTGATTGGACCATTTTGACAGGGTGCTGATTGGTGCGTTTACAATCCCTGAGCTAGACACAGACTGTTGATTGGTGCATTTACAAACCTCTAGCTAGACATAAAAGTTCTCCAAGTCTCCGTTAGATTAGCTAGACACAGAACACTGATTGGTGTATTTACAAACCTTGAGCTAGACACAGAGTGCTGATTGGTGCATTTACAATCCCTTACCTAGACATAAAAGTTCTCCAAGTCCCCACTAGACTCAGGAGCCAAGCTGGCTTCACCTAGTGGATCCCTCACTGGGGCTACAGGCAGGACTGCCTGCCAGTCCCGAAGGAGCTGTGCCTGCGCTCCTCAGCCCTTGAGGGGCTGTGCCGGGACCCTGGGGCTGCATGGAAGCCCACCGCGTGGTGGGGAGAGGTACAGGCATGTTGGGCTGCAGGTCCAGGGCCCTGTCCCATGGAGAGGCAGCTGAGGCCCTGGGAGAACTGGAGCGCAGCTCCCGTGGGCCCGCACTGCTGGGGGACCCGGCTGCACCTACCGCAGCTGCTGGGCCGAGTGGTAAGCTCCTCACTGCCCTGGGCCGGCAGCCCCGGCCGGGGGCTCCGAGTGTGGAGCCCATGCCCGCGGGAACTCGCCTAGCCTGTGAGTGCGTGGCACACCCCTGGTTCCCGCCTCCGCCTCTCCCTCCACACTTCCTGGCAAGCAGAGGGAGCCGGCTCCGGCCTCAGCCAGCCCAGAAAGGGGCGCCCACAGTGCAGTGGTGGGCTGAGGGGCTCCTCAAGCACCTCCAGAGTGGAGGCCAAGGCCCAGGAGGCGCGGAGAGTGAGGGCTGCTAGCACACTGTCACCTCTCAAACTGATAGAGCTCAAAAGTTTGCCCTTACACCAACTGTCAATGCTGGAATTTTGTATTCTGTTTTGTAAGGATTTAATGTCAAAAAATCTGCCAAAAAAAGAGAAAAGGTGATACACATGCATGCGCGCACACACATGGTGGAATACTATTCAGCCTTAAAAAAAGGAAATCCTGTGATTTGTGACAAAATGGATGAATCTGGAGGATGTTATGTACTAAGTGAGGTAAGCCAGGCGCGGGAAGAAAACCACCTCATCCTCTCACTTACACATGGACCCTAGAAAGGTCCCTAGAAGCAGAGAGTACAATGCTGGATACCGGGGACTGAAGAAGGTGGGGAGAAGAGGGAGGTGTTGGTCAAAAACTATGAAGTTTCAGTTACAAGGAAGAAATTTTGGAGATCTGTTGCACAGCATGGTGGCCATAGTTAATAATAATGTATAATTGAAAACAGATTTTAAATGTTCTCACAAAAAATGGTAAGTATGTAAGGTGATAAATATAACTAGCTTGATTCATTTCCAAAAAGGCAATACAGTGAGGCTTCAACTCTACAAAAAAAAAAAAAAAATTAACTAAGTGTGGTGTCTTGTGTTTGCAGTCCCAGCTACTCGGGAGGCTGAGGTGGAAGGATTGAACCCAGGAAGTGGAGGCTGCAGTGAGCTGAGATTGTACCACTGCACTCTCGCCTGGGTAACAGAATGAGACCCTGTCTCAAAATAAAAAATAAATAAATAAATAAATACTTCTAAGCCAAGAAATACTTCTAAGATTTAGTAAGTTAATTTCTGAAAAATGCCTGACATTGCACTAGCATCTATTTCTACTTCTGTTACTATTTCTATCACTAACCAGATATGCTGGTTGATTACATATGGGATGTAAAAGAATGAAAAGGGTCAAAAATGTATCCTAGGCCTGAGTAATTGGAAAGATAGAAATTGATGGGGAGAGCTGAGAGGTGAGGGACTGGAAACATATGCCACCACACTTGGTTAATTTTTTTTTTCTCTTTTTTTGGAGAGTTGAAGCTTCAACTAGTTATATTTATAACCTTACATACTTACCATTTTTTGTGAGAACATTCAAAATCTGTTTTCAATTACACATTATTATTAACTATGGCCACCATGCTGTGCAGCAGATCTCCAAAATTTCTTCCTTGTAACTGAAACTTCATAGTTTTTGACCAACACCTCCCTCTTCTCCCCACCTTCTTCAGTCCCCGGTATCCAGCATTGTACTCTCTGCTTCTAGGGACCTTTCTAGGGTCCATGTGTAAGTGAGAGGATGAGGTGGTTTTCTTCCCGCGCCTGGCTTACCTCACTTAGTATATAACATCCTCCAGATTCATCCATTTTGTCACAAATCACAGGATTTCCTTTTTTTAAGGCTGAGTAGTATTCCACCATGTGTGTGCGCGCATGCACGTGTATCACTTTCTTTTTTTGCAGGTTTTTTGACTTTTATTAAATCCTTACAAAACAGAATACAAAATTCCAGCATTGACAGTTGGTGTAAAGGCAAACTTTTGAGCTCTATCAGTTTGAGAGGTGACAGTGTGCTAGCAGCCCTCACTCTTGCGCCTCCTCGGCCTTGGCATCCACTCTGGCGGTGCTTGAGGAGCCCTTCAGCCCACCACTGCACTGTGGGCGCCCCTCTCTCGGCTGGCTGAGGCCAGAGCCGGCTCCCTCTGCTTGCCACAAAGTGTGGAGGGAGAGGCGAGGGTGAGAACCAGGGGTGTGCCAGGCACTCACAGGCCAGCGTGAGTTCCTGCGGGCACGGGCTCCGTGGGCCCCACACTCGGAGCCCCTGGCTGGGGCTGCCGGCCCAGGGCAGTGAGGGGCTTAGCACCCGGTCCAGCAGCTGCAGTAGGTGCGCCTGGTCCCCCAGCAGTACTGGCCCCCCGGAGCTGCCTCCCCATGGGGCAGGGCCCCGGACCTGCAGCCCGCCATGCCTGAACCTCCCCCTGCCTCACGGTGGGCTCCCGCGCAGCCCGAGTGTCCCCTATGAGGGCCACCTCCTGCTACGTGGCACCCAGTCCCATTGGCCACCCAAGGACTGAGACATGCAGACACAGCTCCTTTGGGATTGGCAGGCAGTCCTTCCTGCAGCCCTGGTGCGAGATCCACTAGGTGAAGCCAGCTGGGCTCCTGAGTCTAGCGGGGACTTGGAGAACCTTTATGTCTAGCTAAGGGATTGCAAATACACCAATCAGCACCCTGTGTCCAGCTCAGGGTTTGTAAATACACCAATAGGTACTCTGTATCAAGCTAACCTAGTGGGGACTTGGAGAACTTTTCTGTCTAGCAATCTGTGTCTAGCTAAAGGATTGTAAATGCACCGATCAGCACTCTGTGTCTAGCTCAAGGTTTGTAAACGCACCAATCAGTGCTCTGTGTGTAGCTAATCTAATGGGGACTTGGAGAACTTGTATGTCTAGCTAGAGGATTGTAAATGCACCAATCAGCACTCTGTGTCTAGCTCAGGGATTGTAAACGCAGTTAAAATGGTCCAATCAGCTCTCTGAAAAATAGACCAATCAGCTCTCTGTAAAATGGACCAATCAGCTCTCTGTAAAATGGACCAATCAGCAGGATGTGGGTGGGGCCAGATCAGGGAATTAAAAGCAGGCTGCCCCCCCCCCCACCCCCACCAAGGCCATCAGTGATGATTAGTTCAGATTCTTCTCTGCCCTGTAAAAGCTTTAGTTTTGCTGTTTGGGTGTGCTGTGTTTTTTTATGAGATGTAGTAGGCCCTGCAAAGGTCTGCAGCTTTGGTCTTTGGACCAGCATAGACTATGAATCCATAGGGAGGAATTAGCAACTGCAGACACGCTGCCCTAAGAGCTATGGCACTTACTGAGAACGAACATTTGCAACACCTGAGGCCAGGGTAGACTATGAACCCACAGGGAGGAATGAACAACTCTAGACACGCCGTCTTAAGAGCGGTAACACTCACCGCAAAGGTCTGCAGCTTCACTCCTGTAAGCCAGCCAGACAACATACCCGCCAGAAGGAAGAAACTCCCCACATGTGCGAACATCAGAAGGAAAAGACTCCAGACACACTCTAAGAATTGTAACACTCACAAGGGTCTACGGCTTCATTCTTGAAGTCAGACCAAAAACCCACGAATTCTGAACACAAGTTCACCTGGTATGATGTGATTAAAGTGATCTGATGTTTTCCTCCCACTTTAGAAAAACTTTAAAAAAAAAACAAAAAAACCTGTTAGCATTGATACGTGGCTACTGCCGTCCCCCAGTGCTGGGAGCTGGTCTGGGGCCCACAGTGCTCTAGGATCGTCACGCACAGTAACGGTTTTGACCAGTCTTCTAGGTCGCACATGGTATGCGAGGGGTGGGGAGGGAGAAGGAAGTGACTGTCCTGCCTTTGGGGGGAAGAAAAAAACTGCCAGTCACTCAGCTTTCAAGACCAGATGGCTATGGGTGACTGCAGAGGGCAGGTGTCCGTTTGCTTGTTCTTTTATATACGAAAAGGCAGTGAATTCCCTGGTTGCAAAATGTGGAATCACTGACAGGTGAGGCGGGGAGCACAGCTGCCGGGCCCGCCCTATCCCAGGGGTCTTTGGAAGGGGTAGGCCACAGATAAGGGCAGTGGGGACCAGGGAGGGCACAGCCCCCGGCGGCCACGGGACTGAGACCATTGTACGAGATTCGGGAGGGGCAGTGGTGCTGGGCAAACGGTGTCTTGAGGCCCCCACACCTCCCACATCCCCCCAACATTCAAGTATGCTTCGAGAACAGGGAAGCAAAGTCAACCGATGTGTTTGTGTATTTGTTTCTTTTAAAGAAATAAAACTAAACACGACTTATGATCCCCAACCGCGGATTTAGAAGCCAGAGGAGCTGCCCTAGGCGTGGAGTTCGGGGGCATCAGGGTAATTAAATATATACACTGTATGTATTGAAACATCACTGTGTACACATAAATATGCACAATTATGATGTGTCAATTAAAAATAAAATTATAACACACCTACATATTTGTGGTGCAGAGGAGGGTGAGGAAGACAGCGCCCTGGGGTCATTACTCACATTTCATGCGCCTGGTCCTAGTTACTTCATAAGTAGGACCAATAACAACACATACCTCCTGTTGTTAAAAGAATCAAAGGAGATAATCTGTGTGCAGAAAGCACCACTGCGTCTGACAATACGTGCTGAACGAACAACTACTATTAATTTTTAATTTAAATAACCCCCATGAAGTGAATGGCTGCCACACTGCAGCAGAACTAAAATTTTGTAGTTACTTATTCATTCGTTTACTTATCTATTACCTGTCTTCGCGACCAGCCCAGAAGATCCATGAAGGCAGGGCTGTGTCCCGATCGCCACTGTGACACCTAGACAGTGCTCGGAGCGCACTTGGGCATCTAGAAATGTTTGTTGAATAAATACATCAACATCAAAAGCAAAATAAACACATTAGTAGGATAGGAATGCATAAAAGTATGACTGTACGAGGCAAACAAAATGCAAACAGGATTGCCAATGTAAATCTCAGTAGAATTCAAGGCTAAACTCATGAGAAAACGATTCCCTTTAAACTAAAAAGTGTATGACCTACAAAAGATACAAGGTGTGAATCTTTATACACCAAATAACAAAGCATGAAAAGTAAACCCATAGTAGTGGCAAACTTCAATTTTCTTCTCTTCCAAGCACAGAGAGAAGGCAAAAATGAATATATTCATCAATACAGTCACATATTCAAGTATCCTAAATAAAACTAACGAAGTCAAAGTAACAGATGTATCTATCAAACTCTACACCCTACAAACAGCGACCACCGTTACTCAGTGGGAGGCTGTATAGGGTGGTGTCTAACACTCTGGAATTCAAAGTCTTGGACCTGGCCCTGGCCCTGGCCCACCATTGGAGGTGAGGGAGACAGTGGCCTGGGATAACTACTCATCTTTCATGGGCCTGGTAGGCACAACAAGTAGACCAATCATAATATGTACCTCGTGTTGTTCTAAGAATCAGGACATAATCCACATGGAGAAATTACCACTGTGTCATGACAATTTGTGCAAAATGAGCAAGCTACTATTACTACATTATTAGCAATAGTTGACTACATTCATGGCATACATTAAAAATGATTTTATATTAGGCCACAAGGA